GTTCTAATCTATAAAAAAGACCTGTTTCATCCATGTTGTATATTCTTTCAGGTGGATAATTACTACACATATTTTTTAATAATGGTAAGGCTTCAGTAATTGCATTTAGATCAGCTGATGATGCCTCTCCTTGAAGCTTTCGTACTTGAATTCCATTACGTTTTTTAAACCTATGGAGCCATCCAGAAGAGAAAGCCAATGTTTCTTCTGGTACCCCCAATCCATTTGCTATTTCCTTGGCTTTTTCAATTAAAATAGCATCGCTTAAGATTACTCTGTTTTGATAAATTAAAATAAATTCCTTAAGAGCAAGTTCAAGTTCAGGAACTGTTAGATTTTTGTGTCTTTTGGTATCTGGATTAGTAACTTCAGTATTAAGTATTTCTTCTTTTTTTTGCAGAATTCTTGTTATAGTTGTTTCAACCACTTTAATTCCCCATTTTTGTTCAATCCAACCAACATATTCTTTTCTGGTCATTTTATTATTAGAGTTTGCAAATAAACAAAATTCATATTTTTGAGAATTAGATAAAGTTATTTTACTCTTTGGAGGCATTTTTATTTAAAAGTAATAAAGGAATAAAATATTTTAATGAGATAAGTGTGAGTGTAAAAATTAGATGGTTGGATACATAAGAATATATAGGTTAAGTTATAATGGAAGTTTTATTTTTTAAAATTTATTACAAGAGTTTAGTTATTAAATAAATTTCTTGATTCATGTCTTATTTATGATAATTTTGACTGCATAAGCTTCTCTACTTGTTTTCTTTGTTCTTTGTTCTAATAACAATAACCTTTGTATCTATTAAAAAAAAAAAAGAATTCTTTAGTTTCTTGTCACTTAATAAAAATGAACAATTCTTTACCCGCCTGTTACAAAATAATTCTTTATCTCTTGCTAATAATAAATTTAATTCTTTATTCATTATCATCATTTACTAAGTATAAATTTAATTCTTTTATATTCTTTATCATCATTTACTAAGTATAAAATTTTAATTCTTTATCATCTCTTACAAAAATCAATTCTTTATACATTTTTTTTTTTAACACAACGAAGGAAACAAGGAAAAATTATTTAATTTATAACGTCGCACAATTTTTATTGGACGATGATCACGTGAAAGTCACGGGCGTGCACTTAGAGAGGGAGTTTTATATAGTTGGGAATGGAAAATGACCGTGCAGTGCAGGGGAGAGGGGGTGTGCACTTATCTCTAATTACCAAGCTTGGGAATGAGTGAGAGTGTGCACTTAGAGGGGGTTGACTGTACATTGTTTTACAGTTTTTTGTATTTCGATGTACTCTTTTTCTTCACACCATTTTGGTTTCGCAACATTTAGCCCACAACATACAATGCCCCATACCTCGGGTCTAACATGATTTGAAATATATATTAATTAATATATTGCACATAAACTGACAATAACAGCTATAACTTACCTCATCAGGTGTCCTTTAATACCAGCTGCTACTTTTAGAAGATTAACCACCGCTATACCAGATTTAAAATCCATTCATTGTAATTAAAAAGATCCTCACTGCTCTCGGTATCGAATTCTTCATTGTCATCAGTTTCTACAAGAAATAATTCTGGGTCTAATTCTTGTCCATTATATTTGGCAGAAAAATACTCTACCTGGCAAGTATCAAAACAAGGAAATTTAATTTAATAACACAATTAATTGTATTGTATATAATAAATTATATAATGAAGATGATTAGATGAGACTCATTCCCTTTGTCACATCCTGCTTACATGGTCTCTTTAGAGTCTCTTCATTTTTGTTTATTTCATTCGAGTTTGTCTAAAGCAAAGGAAACAATGCAGTCAATATATATAACAACTATTAAGACTAATTAGCAATCAATTACAAACCTCAAGTTTTCGTTTGTTCTTCTTTTATTCAGTGAAAATTTCTTTCAGGTTTGTTAAAATCCCTTTAGTACTAGTACTTACGTACACCTGATTCTATTTTGTCGCAGCAAGTACCATTTCATTTGAACTTTTTTTCCCGGATTGAAGAAAGTTTATCAGTCTCAACCCTTAAGAATAAAATAATGAAACATCAAAATCTTAATTTAGAAGGCATGATAACAACATAACAAGGTCACAAATTTCTCTTCTAAGTAGAAATGTCTTGCAATCACCACCATCATTCTTTTTTTTAACAATAACTAGAGTAATGATGGCAATAATCACCATTGTTCTTTTAATAAATACTAGAGTGATGATGAGTGGTGGGCAATAACCACCACCTCCATCCTTAAAACACTTACCCGATCAACGCACCCTCACGACCGGTTGTTTGTTTTCTCTGATGAAGTTTTCTTTTTTGTGGCATTTTTATTAAAATTTTACAAAAAAAAAAAAGTAAAGTTTAAAGAAGTTGGTTATTTGATCGATGCGTACACATTAATTATTTATCCTATTGGTTTTTTTTTTTGGTAGGACAGATGCGAATTGATTTTTTTTTCTTGGAAAAACAATTTATTTTTTGACAGAGTCCAAGGTGACAAAACGTGAGCGTTGTTGTTTGGTTTGGTTTTGGATCTCCTAAAGAAGAAGTGTTAATAACTAACCAGAGGTACTATTTATTTGTGTTGATATTTTTATTTTATATAAATATTTTAATTGGAAATCAAAATGCAGAGCAGATCTTGCTGGGTATTTACAAGATTTTCATTGATAATATTTTACTTTTCGTAATTGTTAATAATATTAATACTATTATAAATATTATATATAATCACAAGAAGATATCAAGGCAGCACAATTGAAAAAGAAACAATTCGAGTATGCAATGTTTGATTATCGGAAATTTTACAGGCGTTGAAGCAAGCATGCTATGCTACCTTGAACACTTTACAGCCATTCTCTCATCTTCCTTGTGTACACAAGGTTAATCTGACCTGCTACACTCAATGATACAATGATGTTGAAATCCAGGGGGGGACACATGGCCCTGGAATTTACCAAGATTGCATCAATCGTCAAGGACACTTTCACTAATCTTCCCAGACCAGAGATGGCCGCTAGCACGTTGGATGAAAAGTTGCCTGCAACGATCCTACCTCTAGGGCAAGGATGACACTGTGACCAAGTCGCAACTCTGCTGATGAATATTAGTGCCATGTAAATATCCAGATCCATCAAAGCAACAAGAATCTGCAGCTCATTTCCAGCACAGGAGGTCACAATTCAGAGCAGGGTTGGTGACCCTGAAATTGCATTTGGGCTCTGATGTTAAGAGGAAGGTTGTAAAATAGTGTTTGTTTTGTATAATCATTATTTTCATAAATGCTCTGTTTCTCTGATATTAACTAACCAATTTATAATTTTGGGTAGGGGACTGGATTGGGTTTTTGTCCAATCAGTCCTCTGTCCTGCAGGTTAAAATTATTGCACGATTATATACATCCTTGTCAGCAATATTGCCAACAAGGAAAAAGAAAAAAGCCATAAAAATGGTTTGGATTTTGTTTGGTATGTTATAAATTAAACATTTTCCCAAATTCTCTGTTTCTCTTTAATTTTTATCTGACCAACTGAATTTGTTATTTTAGTAAATGGGGGTAGGGTTGTTGGTGAGTAGGCACGCCACTGACAAGACAGGGGACACCTTTGGGATGTATCAGCCAAACTCATAGAAAGGGATTCTTTGTCCAGACTTAGGGTCACATGGATGTTAAGCACAGAAAATGTACACTATCAATGTATATGTTTTTTTCAACAAAATAAACATTTAAATAATTAATTGTTAAATATTAATACTTTACATTTCATAAAAATCACAGCAACCCAGGACTCAAAACTCTGAATTCAGGGAAAAACCAAAACAGTGACCTCCTGAGTTGCAGAATTTTCAACCAGTTGCAGGTGCCAACTTTTTTTCTAGTGTGGCAATAACACAAAGCAATTATCACACAAGCACCAAGCTATCCATGATCAATGCCCATTTTATAACATCCAAGCCTGGTCTGAGGGGGAGATAAGGGAAAGTTTTGTCCAAAGCCTTCCAACTTGTTCAAGTCTCTTTCACCTGTGGAATAAATCCATGGTGCTGAATTGATGCTTTGCACAGCGCTTGCATGTTTGTGATAGGAAATTTCAATTAAATCTGACACCTGCAATCAACATCAGATTTATTATTCATAAGGAACCATAATTGATAATCAGGAAGAATAATTTATTATTGTGAATCCCAGAGATCTGGGTAGACATGCATTATTAAAAGTTTCATTTATGCATGGCCTTGGTATTGTTACTACCTGGGTGATGCAATTGTTTGTTATGTCAATGATGATATCAAATGTATTGCATAATAATCATGACCATCAT